GGAAATTAGCTTCACTTTCTCTTCTCATGAAATGGATCACGTCTCTTGAACCAAACCAAACAAAATAAAACATTTGAGTGAAAACTTTTTAGTTTCCTATTCAGAACTATCATTTATTTGTTTTCCTCCAGCATGTTTAATTTTTTAGCAAGTATTCCATATATTTTTCACTCTGACTATAGCCCAAGGACATAGAAGACTGACTATATATCACTTAGGTTTAAGAAAAAGAAATTGGATGGATGATTTTAGGTACAATGCATTACTCCCTTACTCACATGGATAAATTTGTTCTAAAAAATCCCTTCATCAACTCTGTTTTCTCATTTTGTATGTATTTATTTTCTTGTTTTGTAGAATATAGATTATTCATGATCTGATGATCCATTTAGTAATAACTTGTTTTCACTACTAAAACAAATTTAAAAATTCCTGATAGAATTGTAAATACAATTAAAATTTCTCCTTCGAGAACCGGAGAAGTACAGCATACCATATATGCTGGTTGCCCTGTATACTACCTACCAGGGTTTGATTCCTGGCCCAGAAAATGGTACCCTGAATACCACCAGGGGTAATTTCTAAGTACTGAGATAGTAGTAATCCCTCAGTATTGCCAGGTGTGACCCAAATCCCCCCAACGCCCCCTCATAAAAGGGAAAAAATTACTTCTTATTTATAAGTAAACTAAAAAAATGTCACATTAGCACACCACACACACACACACACACACACACACACACACACACTCTTACACTTTTCACTGCAACCCAGATAGTACAGGAAATGGTCTCTGGACAGATCTCCACTATCTCTGTGGAGATCAGGGGTGCCAGGGTGATTTGATTCACTTTACTGCTATTAAAGACACTACTCTGAATGACAATAAATGGAAAGCAAAATTCGTCCTTCTAATTCTAAAGAATTCTTTTTTTCCCTGCTTTTTGGGTCACACCTGGCTATGCACAGGGGTTACTCCTGGCTCTGCACTCAGGAGTTACTCCTGGCGGTGCTCAGGGGACCATATGGGATGCTGGGAATCAAACCTAGGTCAGTCACGTGCAAGGCAAATGCCCTATCCACTGTGCTATCTCTCCAGCCCCTAAAGGAATTCTTAAACGTTCTTTTACTGGTACTTCTTGGTTTTAGACTGCACTTGTTGGTGGTCAGGGCTCACTCTTGGATCTGTGTTCAGGGATCACTCCTGGTGGTACCTGGGAGCCATATGAGATACTAGTGATCAAAACCATGCCAGGCACATGCACGACAAGCACCCAGCAGCTGTACTATGTCTCTGATCCCCAATTCTTTTTAATTTTAATTTTATTTTTGTAATGATCTGAGATCTCCAGGCTTGCTCGCTTTGGGACTGGGCTTCCTCCACCCAGTTCCCCCATCTTGCAGTAGCTAGACAGTTACACCCACCAGCTGCCATGTAACCCCATCAACAGCCAAGATCAAGAGACTATAAAACCAAGCTCCAGGAAGTGTACGGCCACAGTTGCAGCCGCGCGACCTCTTATTGTCTAGTTATCACTCCTGAAGAACCCGGAAGGCTACCTAGAATATCCTGCCCGTATAGATGCCTGACTGGGAACACCTGTAAAGGTGATTAGAGACTGCTCCAAAATGCCTCCATCCCTCTTGGAGAGCCCAGCAAGCTACTGAGAGTATTCCGCCTGCACAGTAGAGCCTGTCAAGCTACCTGTGACATCCTCGATATTCCAAAAACAGTAACAATGATGATCCTCATTCCCCTGACCCTGAAAGAGCCCCCAGTATGCCATCGGGCTGCACTCTTAAGTGACAGGGATGAATGGAGACATTACTGGCGCCCACTTGAGCAAATTGATGAACAACAGGGTGATAGTGATAGTGATAATGAATGTGGTTTATAATACTGCTAATCACAGGGCTCTATGTAGGTACATTCCCGCACCCCACCCTCTGCCATTGCCTCAGTGTCTCTGCTCTCTTACTGCTGCCCCTTCCACCCTTCCCCTGTGATAAGCATCCTATAAAAGATGAGTTCTCAGCTTCTGTTGCCTTTGGTTGTTTGTTCTTCCACTCCTATGTTTCTCTATATTTCACATACGAGAGACCTCATTCTGTGTCTGTCTCTCGAAGTAACTACACAGCATGATCTTCTTCAGATACATGCAGGTATCAGAAAATTGCATGATTTCGTCCTTATAGGATGTAGTATTCCATTGCATGTAGGTATGCATGCAGTTTATTTATGCAGTCATCTGCTCTTGGGAAATTGGTCTGTTTCCCAACTTTGGTTTTGTGAATAGCTGCAATTAACATAAAAATGCAAATGTATTTTCTGAATATAGGGTTTCAGCCTTGGGATAGATACCAAGAAGTAGAATTGCTAGAAGATTAATTCCTGTTTTTTTTTTTCTAAGACATGTTCATGTTATTTTCCAAAAGGACTGCACTCAAGTCAACATTCCCAACAACAGTGGATGAGATTCCCCTTTCTCCTAATATCTCAGCCAATACTGGGGATGTGTTTATTTGTGTTTTTTTGTGGTGCGTGCCAGTCTCAGTGATGTGAGATATCTTATTGTTGTTTTGATTTTCATCTTGCTGATCCTTGATGCAGAGCAATTTTTGGTAAAATATCTTCAGTATAAACTCAAACCAAGAAACTTACAAGCTCACGTTATATTGAAAACTGATGAATACTGTTATTTTCTTTATATAATATTAATATGGTAACTCCCTCTGGAGTGATTGCTCTATTTGACCACACTACCACTATGTACAATCAAAATATAAAAGTCTTTTGCCAGATCCTCATGTAGTAATAAGGATTAATCTTGATGTTGAAAATCAAGAAAAATGTTTTATTAAAGTTTAACTACCTAACAGGAATTTCCTGTAGTGTCATCAAACATTCTGAGAAAGCACATAGTGAGTGAAAACCACAAATAAATGAAAAAGGCTGATTTTATAATGTGGAACTGAAAATAATGGAAATTTGGCTATTCTAACAATGTGGGAAGATATTCTGAAATGAGATTTAAGGATGATTAATGTAAAACATAAATGTTCTCTTCTAGCATTACTTACCAGATAGGATCCTGTGGGATTTATGCAAATATCCACTCATTATGCAGCTGGCACTTGTGTGAAATTACTAGTAAATGCAATTTCATGGAGAGCTTGTGTTTCAGGAAATCACCTGCATAGTGGAATATGAGGGGCATGGAGAAGAAATCACCCAAAAAAGTCTCTTTTCATTGATGTATGGTTACGTTTGCAAGTTCACGATTGATATTAACACTTAGTACTTATTTTGAGTTTTGAAGCGTATGGAAAGTGCTTAGTACAATCAAAATATAAAAGTCTTTTGCCAGATCCTCATGAAAATTGCCAGATTCAATTTTATTTTCACGATTAGTGTCACTGGGAAGTAGAGAAAGAAAGTGAACCCTAGAAACTTTAAGCCTTTCTGTAGATTATAAGATTATTAAAGTTGAAGAACATTGATTAATCTTGCACACAGAAAATGTGCTGGGATATTAACTCAAAGGATTGGTGAACATGCTTTGCATGTTGTAGCTCTGACTTTAATCCCAAGAATCACTTGGTTCCTCAAGGACCACCAGACATGCAGTTACTGAACACTGAATTGAAGGTAGTCCCCCTAAGTCACATCAGGTGCAAAGAAAATGACCCCTAGAAAGCGCTGTGCCCTAACATGTGACGGTTAATGTATCATGATTAATGAACATAAAGATTAATCTCTATTACTATATGAGGATCTGGCATATCAATGTTCACGATGAACATTGTTTACACATTAAGCCGGGAAGTAGGATGACAGTTCTTGCCTACAGAAGCAGATTTTAAATGTGATATGGTTTTCTTGCTTCTCATTGAATGAACTTTTTCATCCTTCCTCTCAAATGCCATCAAAATTATCTCCCTTTGGGGCTGGAGTGATAGCAGAGCGGATAGGGTGTTTGCCTTGTACACAACCAACCTGGGTTCAATTCCCAGCATCCCATATGGTTCCCCAGGCACTGCCAGGAGTAATTCCTGAGTGCATGAGCCAGGAGTAACCCCTAAGCATCACCGGGTGTGACCCAAAAAGCAAAAAAAAAATATCTCTCTTTGAAATAAGACTCATTCTAGAAGATTGTCACACTTACCCTTTATTACTAGTACTTTTTTTTTTTTTGCTTTTTTTGGGGGGGTCACACCCAGCAGTTCTCAGGGGTTACTCCTGGTTCTGCACTCAGGAATTACTCTTGATGGTGCTCAAGGGACCCTAGGATATATCGGGGATCTAACCCGGGTGCAAGGCAAACGCCCTACCCACTGTACTTTCGCTCTGGCCCCTAGTACTTCTTAGGAATTAGTTTATGAGGTATTTCCTAAGGTATATGCAACAGAGAACAACCTGGGCAGATTACAGAAGGAAAGTGGGGAATCTCTCTCGAGGGCTTGATTCAGCAATGAAAATCTCCACACATCAGTCTCCCTCAAAACCAACATAGGCATAGACCAAGGTGAGTGTCATAAAGTTGATTATTTTTTAAATTATTTTTTCTAAATTACCTCAATCCAGAAACTAGCCTATACTCTGCCCTTGCAATAACTTTAGGTAATATCTTTATCATCTTCACTATCATGAACTAAACAGAATAACAGGGAAGCAGAAATCATCAAGTAACTAGAATGTGTCTCCGTGAAATGAGTTCACATAACAGTGTAGCCGAGTTCACATAACGGTGTTCCAGTTTGAAAGATTAAAGAAGTGTGTGTGTGTGGGGGGGGTGGGTATGTGTGTGTATGTGTTTAATTGAATCGTGCCCTGGAACATGGAGAGAATATGTAAACAGCTAATGTGTTCACTATCATCATTGAAGTTGATAAAATTTTTTATTATCAGAAAAGAGTGATAAAATATTGCGTAATTTATGTTGAAATTTTCCAAGTCCACTGACTTAGCTTGCATTGGTTAACCTCTCTCATATTCACAGAAAATGCATGTCTTCAAGAAGACCTTGCAGGCATTGATCTACCCCATGTCTTCCACCACCCCACACAATTTTGAGGTCTGGACGGCTACGGCACCCACCTACTGTTATGAATGTGAAGGGCTCCTATGGGGCATTGCCCGGCAAGGCATGAAGTGTTTGGAGTGCGGAGTGAAGTGCCATGAAAAGTGTCAGGACCTTCTAAATGCTGACTGTTTGCAAAGTGAGTACATGCTTAGGCTGAAGAAGTAGTTATGCAGAGCTTTCTTTATCATGTACAGTTTTTGTTCAGACCTCAGCACCTGCTTTTTTTCCACACCCATTCCCCTCTACTTCCACTCATATAACAGTGGTACATAGAGTGCCCATTATGTTAGAGAGTTGATCATGAATTCCTGAGGTTTTTGAACTCAGTAACTTAGATTTCTCAGAACAAGTGTCTGGTGTGCAATCTTGTCTCATCAAGTTAACTTCCCAGTGACTTCCAATTGGTTTACTCATTTGAATCTCATAATAACCTCGGGAGGTAAGTGGGAATATGCATAGTTGCTATCAAACAAGGTTGATGCACATTACTGTAATTATGGTAACTGGAATGTTTTTTCCAGTCTGGTGCCTTCCAAAGGAGACATTCTCTTAGAGCTAATACAAAAACCTCAGAGTTGAGAGGCCACAAATACATTTCTTTGTACACTTTATTATTGATTTTGTTATTATATCTTTACTTTTCAGAAATACTAAAATTGGCTTCAAAGGGTTATTGGAATAACTAAATTATTGACTGCTGTGATTTTTGCTAATATCAATAACCTTTTAATTCTTTCATTTCTGAAAATGGGCTCCTTTGACCTTTAAAATTACCCAAACTTTTCATTTTTGTAAGGATATTTTATACTGACAGTTTAGTTTTCAAAGTGCTACAATGTCAAGCCAAAAAAATACATATTAACTTGGTACTATTCCACTATTTGGTCTTGACATGGTTCAAATTTCCAAAGTGATCTATGTTTTATTTATTTAATTTTTTGTGGGGACAGCAGGGTAGGTGGGAGGTACACCCAGTAAGCTCCTGATTCTGCTTACTGGGTTACTCCTGAGTACTCCTGAGTTATTCAGGGAACAATATGGGATGTCAAGGATCCAATCTGGATCAGCTGCATGCAAGGCAAAAACTCTCCCTGCTGTACTATTGCTCTGGCTCCCCAAAGAAATCTATTGAAACAAAGCTTTCACTTAAAATTGTGTTTATTTTCAAATCTACATATTATTTCCTTTTTGATTATATGAATTGCAATGTAAGGTGTTGCATGAAAATAAGGGGGCAGAGGACAATGTCAAAATGAATATTAAATCAGAAGTGTCATCAAAGCTATTTTTTAGAATATTCACATACATCTACAGATTTCTCTACCTGATTAGTCTATCTCTATCAATAACCAGAATGGTCAGATTGCTGCTGTATTAATATGGTAACAAAAACTAAGCAAAAATAAGAAAGTATATTAAGAAAATACTGCATTAAAAAGTAAAATTGGCGTAAAAGTTATTATTATTAATGATCAACCATATCCACACGATAGCCAGGTCATTGAGGTTTCTCGGGAGTTCAAGATGTTGGTCTGTCTAACGTTTATTGATTTAAAGAAGGCCTTTGATTCTGTTGAGACTGAAGCGGTCATTGAAGCCCTAGCCAAACAGGGAGTTCAAACTCAATGCATCAGGATTCTCCGTGAGCTATACTACAGATTCACTACCAGGATCTCACCATTCTACAAGGAAGTGATTATCCATGTCAAGAGAGGGGTTCAGCAGGGTGATACCATTTCACCGAAACTCTTCAGTGTTACCCTCAACACAACGTCATGAGATGACTGGAATGGGAAGGAATGGGAGTGAAGATAGACGGTCGGCAACTACACCACCTTCACTTTGCTGATGACATCGTTCTAATAACACCAAACATTAGCCAAGTAGCACAAATGCTGGCCAACTTCAACCGTGAGTGTGGAAAGGTCAGACCCCAGATGAATCTCACGAAGACAATATTTCTGAGAAACGGTCTTGTTCCTGACGTTCCATTCACTCTCAACGGGACGAACATCTCCAAATGCAACAGTTATGTGTACCTAGGTCCAGAAGTCAACATGACGAATGACCTGGCACCTGAGTTGAACAGGAGGAAGAGAGGTGCTTGGAATGCCTTCAAGGGCATCAAAGAAATAGCAAGAGGATGAAGAACCTCCGGCTCCAGGTACATCTCTTCGATTCCACTGTTCTTCCTGCATTAATATATGCTTCGGAGATCTGGGCCTTACGAAAACAGGATGCAAACGATATTCGGGTCTCCCAAAGAGGAATCAAGAGAGCTATGTTTGGAGTATCATGCTTCACTCAAATGAGAGAAAGAATCTGAAGTTCTGACCCCCGTCGATGATCAAGAATCAGGGACACTGTCTCATTTGCCAAGGCGTCGAAAATCAGATGGCTGGACACGAAATGAGATTTGGAGATGAGCGCTGGACTAGAGCCATTACCAAATAGATTCCACAGGACGTCAAAAGATCGTGTGACCACCCACCTACAAGATGGTCAGACTTCTTCTTCAAGACCCTGAATGATTGGTTTGAGGCTCTTTGGGTTCCTGGAGCGAGCAAACACCACTGGGCTACACTATCATGTGACAGGGACAGAGACGTTACTGGCACCCGCTAAAGCAAATCGATGTGTAATGGGATGTCATGTGATCAATTTATCATTATCTTATTACTTATTATTAACTTATTACTATTAACTTATCATTAACTTATTAAAATGTATTATTATATTATAATAAATTATATTGTATATATGATTATTATGTTATCTTATTATCTTATATATTATTATTTACTTATTAACTTATTACAAGTAAATTAAGAAAGTACTGCATTAAAAGAAAAATTGGCACGATACTTATTATTAACTTATTACTTATTAATTTATTTTTAACTAATCATTAACTTATTAACTAATTATTATCAACTTATTATTGACTTATTATTAACTTATTATTATTAACTTATTACTGTTAAAAATAACACATCAAATTAATTTGAAGTTTGCCATACCAAAACAAAATGCTAAGGTCTGTGAAATAATGCAGAGGACAATGGCTTGCCTTGTATGCAGCTATCCCTGCTTTGATTCCCGGCGCCACATGGGCTGTCCCTAGCAACAGCAGGTTTTATCTCTGAGCACAGAGCAGGAGTAAGCCTGGACTACTGCCCCAAGTATGGCCCCAAACCAAAATAAGATAATTTTAAAAAACAAAACTGAAAACAGGGATCGAACAATCAATAGTGTTAAGGAATCAATAGTGTTAATGGAAATTGTTTTATTTCTATTAAGGAAATAAAATATTGCCATGTTAAAAATAAAAAGCTTAATTTCTTTAGACAAAAATGATGCAGATTGTGCATAAGAAATGAGCTCAGTCTTCTTCATCTCTGAATAAAGATGCCTCCTGTTTATTTTATACTAAAAACATTTTAAAATCTATTTACATTTCATAAAATGACATGGATTACTAATTGTTGGTTAAATCATCTAGGCTAATGTTTTCATTGAGATTAGTCAATTAAAATGCAATTTTAATTGAAGGAATCATAAATCATGTAGAAAAACAAGTATATATAATATATACCTCAGGAAGGGATTGTTTTCTTTAATATTACCCTTGAGTTTTCCCCCATAAAACTTGACTCTCACAGTGAACATAAATCTTCCCAAGAATAAGGATTCACTTCACCACTTTCTGTAATAACTATCAGCATTTAAAACTTTTCATGCAGAAACAATATTTCCTAAGAAATTTCTCTTATTCATTAAGCAAGAAATTTTAACTCTGGCCACTTATGTAAAATGTTTCCATGTATAGTAATATTACAGGAAAAATTTAAAAGTTAAGAAAAATAAGCACTGGGAGAAATAGCTATATACCCTTATGTAATTTTAAGAAAGTTATATTTTTTTCTCAAAACATTTTTTTAATGTTTAAGTTTCTCCAAGGAAATTAAAAATCTTGGCAGGCAATTTAATTCATTGTTTAAAAGTACTAGCTTATAAATTAAAATTTGAATCTAGGTCCAACTCTCGAAAACTGCTATTCTTATCAAATCTTACCTCTGAAGAAACTGTTTACTAAATTAAATAATTGCATATGATAGTTCTTAAACACTTGACAACCAGATTTAGGGTTTCTAGAATTATCAGTATTTCACTAATCTTTTTCTGAAGACATTACGCTGTCATTTCACAATCATATACATAATTGCAAGCTTGAATAAAGCAAAGTAGAAGAAAAATTAAAAAATAAACTCTACCCGTTGGTCATCCATGCATTAAGAGATTATTTTTATAATTGCTCAATTTTTATTTACTGTTACTGAAGTCCCGGGTATCTGTGTTTTAGGATTGCATTGTTACCATACCACTCCCTACCAAGTGCCAGTATCCCTTCAGAAGCATCTATCAGATTCTTACAGTTCATCCCCATTCTTAGGTAGCTCCATTTCTGTGGTTAAGATCTAAGTATTTACTTTCTATGGATTCTCGGGTACTCTGTTTCAAGTGCATTCATTCTAATTGTCTTTTTGACTTTCATTTATTTCCCTGGAAATCTATGACGATGGAACTTTCCCATGTGCCTGTTGATAACCTGTATGCTTTCTTTAAGAGTCTGTGTGTTCTCCATATTTTTTGTTAAATTTTGTCATTGCTGTTAATATCTTGGTTATTAGCACAGTGGGTAGGGTGTTTGCCTTGCACATGGCCAACCCGGGTTCAATTCCTCCATTCCTTGCGGAGAGCCCAGCAAGCTACCGATAATATCCTGCCTGCACAGCAAAGCCTGGCAAGCTCCCTGTGGTGTATTCGATATGCCAAAAACAGTAACAACAAGTCTCACAATGGAGACGTTACTGGTGCCCACTCAAGCAAATTGGCGAACAATGGAAGAAGAGTGCTACGGTGCTACATCTTTGTTAAACTAACGTTGTGGGATTTTTTTTCCATTCTGTAGTATACATTTTTGTTTTAGTGATAGTTACTTTTGAAGTACAGGAGCATCTTACCTGTTTATTTTTGCTTTTATTTTCTCTGTCTATGGAGCTAAATCATCGAAGATACCAGTGGGTGAAGTATCATGGTGTTCCTTGTCTGCTTTTTTTTACTATGTATACTATA